TTCTTCTCTAGCCATCAATGCTTTCGCCAGTATGGGCCGGCGTATGATCTCGATCCTCTCTCTTTCATGGACTTCAACCCCTCTCTTGGTTTTCCGGGGGAAGGGCCGCATCTCCGCCAGTTGATTGGACTGCTCTCCTTGCTGACCTTTTGTAGGCTAGGCGGGTGCGTGGGCGCGAGCCATGGAGACGCCTTGAGGCGAAAGCAGCGAGAAGGTTTGGAGCTGCCAGAGGGGAGGCGTGTGACTCAGCTGACCTCCTCCGTGCGAAGTCAGTTGGAGGCGGCGCTGAATGGTTGGCTACGACAAGAAGGACTGTCTTTTGAGGGTGTGTTTCTTGAAAGCCCCCCGGATCTGGACAAGGTCAACAACGTGCTATCAAAGTATGGTAGATTCCTTTTTGCTGAGGGAAAACCATACTACCACCTGGCGGAAACCATCAATTTGGTCAGCGCAAAAAGGCCGATCCTCAGGAGGTCCCTCCAACAGGCTTGGGACCTCTGTGCTATGTGGACCTCCTTTGAACCAGTTGAACACCACCGGGCCATGCCCGTACAGCTGCTGCTGGCAGTACTTGCCAGCTGTTTGGTTTGGGGCTGGAAGCGCGAGGCAGCCCTTTTCGCGCTGTGCTGGGGTATGCTCCTGAGGCCAGGAGAGCTGATGGCTGCCAGGAGAAGAGATGTGATTTTTCCTCAGGATGTGAGGTTCTCCATTGACCACATCCTTTTGAGGATTTTGGAACCTAAGACCAGGTTCAGGGCGGCACGCCACCAAAACAGCAAGCTAGAGGCTCCAGATCTGATGAGAGTGGCATGGATTGGACTTGGAGACCTCCGACCAGAGGAGCCCCTCTGGCCTGGTTCATCCTCTACTCTGAGGCACAGGCTTGACAAGATTTTGCTTACGCTGGGCCTGCCGATCAAAGAGATGAACGGCCAGAAACCGATGACGCTGGCTTCCTTTCGACCAGGTGGGCCAACCTATATGATCAGCCTCACCGAATCTGCAGAAATGGTGCAAAGGAGAGGCCGTTGGCTGTCACTCAAAGTGATGAATATTTATCTGCAAGAAGTGGCGGCTAGCACTTTCATGACAGATTTGCCCCCTGCAGCTCGAGAAGCCATCCTGGTCGCAATGGAAAGTTTCAATGAAGTACTTGAAACCAGCTCTCGGTATGCTGAAGCCAAGATTCCCGAAAAGGCTTGGTATGTTCTTTTTCAACATGGAACGGAGGGCGTCGCAACGACCGGGTCAAGCGGGGTGAAGTGGGCCTTCAAGACCTCAAAATGAGGCATCCCTCGACACACCAACCAATACTGCTGGCTGAAAATGTGCCCGAGTGCCCCT